AAATAAAATAAAAATTATGTAGACTACTAAACAGAGCTTTGATAAATCAAATTATTTAAATACGATTAAGTACTAACCTTTTCCAATATGCCTTCTAGTATTTTCGATTGTTGAATTTCTATTAACATTGCTTAATTGCCCCAGGCAAAAACGGTCGGAATTATTACTTGGATTTGTGAAACCGTCAACTATTACAGAATGACTCTGACAATGAAAAAACTCTCCAACTCTACAATTTAATTCATAACATGCAATACTGGCCCAATAAAGAGGTTCCTGGTATGACACTGGAGCAACTTCAGGCATGGATGTATCCATAGCAGAAGGATCATTAGGGGTTGAGGGATCATGCTTTGAATCTTCAGTTGGGGTGTATGCTGGAGGAGGAGTTCCGGGTAAACCATTACTTGTGTATGACTCTGAGGATTTGAAGTCATGCATCCAGGACTAGGAGCAGAACCGACACTTGACATGGGACTCTGAGGACCACCAGCAAATCCTCCAGCAGAATATGACACATTGTGAGGCATTGCAGGTTCTGCAAGTTGTTGAAAAGGCAAAAGACTGTGTCCTGGAGCAAATTCGGAATGGCGAGGCACCAAAACAGGCGGCAAGACTGGGCTTTCAACCCTTTTGTAATGATAAGGATTTATACAGACTTCTTTTTGCTTTGCTGAAAATGGAAATTGACAAAGTTCTAGGGGTTTTAATTCATGATGTGATTGTAAGTCTGGCCATCGCCACACTCTGCAGTAGATTACATGTGGTAAGCCTTTTCTATGTGACACCTTAGGTAATAAATTAAAAAAAAAAAAAAAAAAACAAAATAATAATAATAATTTGTAAAACAAACTTGCATATGTTTTAAAAATTTATAAATCAGTTATTGAGTATTTTCATTCATTCAAATATAAATTTTAATTACATTGAAAAGAAATTAGAGATATGGGATGTAACTCGGAAAATATCAAACTTGAAAAACGAATTGCATAAAGTGAAATTTTACCTGCAGCCTTCCATCCAAGCTCCTGGGTATTGTTATACATTTACTAGGTTGTCCTGGGTAACATAAAGCTCTTTCCAAGTCTTCTATGCCACCCTTCCGCTTCTTAAGCTTTTTTATTAATGAATCAACAGCCTTTTCAGCCCATTTTTCTTCTTCGTCTCCTTGCTTCCATCCCAATAGTTTTTTCCAGCGGGACTGGTAAAAGAAAATAAGCTGTTGAGTGAAGAAATCGGACCGGAACTGCTCTCTCCTTTTTCACCTTCCATTTTCAAACTTAAAATGGGTAAAGAAAACTTAGGTTGACTTTTTAAAACTTGCAAAGATAAATTTGCAAATTTTACAAAATTATTGTAAAGCAAATCCAAATATTGTATAATGCATTGCCAATAACTTACGTTTTGCGTTTAAACGAATTTTGTTATTTATTTAGTTCAATTTTTCTTATATCAAACGCAGAGACCATTTACCATTAGCTAATTAACAGAACGCTTCTGTTTACTGGCGACTGCCAGGCTGGAACCCCATAACTTCCAATTTTAATCTCCGCTATTCTTTATTATGAATTATTGTTAAACATACGCAATGTTTTTCAAAAATTTTTTCTTCAACAATTGCAAAATTGCACATGTTATTTTATTGCACTTGAAAAATGTTTTAAAATACTTTTAACAAATCTACCAAAATAAAAATTTCAAACGTAACGTTTGAACCGCCCTAAAGCGTAGGAATACAAATACAAAATTACCTTAGCTCATGCGGCCTTCTTGATTATATCTCACAGAGCATTGATCGATTTAAAATTTACATGGAGTATACATTTTAGAAATGAAGAATGGAATTGCT